CTGCCCAAGAAGACCGAGAGCCACCACAAGGCTAAGAGCAAGTAAAGTCTAGCCCAGAACACCACGGATCTTCCGCTTTTCTACAGCTAATCAAAGGCTCTTTTCAGAGCCATCCATATTTTCACATGAAAGGCTAGTAACCAGCCTGTTACGTTGGTAGAATCAGTCCTGAGTCTGTAAAAGACAAGGTAACGTCAAAACCTTGTTCAAAAAACAACAAAAAAAAACCCCACTCAACTTTATATGCCAGATGGAACTGACCTACAAAAAGTAAAGGGGCTCAAATGTAAGCATAACAAGCAGAATGGAAATTTGCGTTTGGCCAATAAGAAAGCCGCGCGGGATTTTCAAATTTTCAAATTAAGGAAAACCCATCGTATCAAACTAAGTCCGAGATCATTTGTTGCTGTCCAGTGTAGTGTGAATCTAGCATTACCAGACCAAGTGCTTTACATGCTATCTTCCAGGTCCATTCAGGGACCCTGCCATGTAGTTTCACACAGGAAACTGTATTAAGGGAGGTATAATGACCAAAGACCTAGGAAGTGGCAGTCCAAGAGACCCGAGGTTTACTTAAAAATAACTAATCCAGCCGTCTAGGGGAGAAGGAGACAAGACAATCGCACTCAGAGAAGTGTGCAGCCCAGCAGGTTGGTGACATTCGAGCCTGTCAGGAATTGAGAATCTCAGGTCCCACTTAGGTTTACTGAACCAAAAGTTACGTTTCGCATGGTGAAATCCTCGCTTTTCACGCTGTACTCAGTGAAAGGATAAAACAGAACCTGGACGCTGAAAAGAGGGATGAGGTGGAGTGATTCATCCAATCAGGCTCTCCAGTAATTAATCTACCCTTCGACCAATGGTTTTATCGCGCGGTTCTTTTGAAAGATGACAAGACCAATCAGAATGCTTCTTACTGTATATAAGGGGAACTTCGCCCTTGCCCACCAGGTTCTGTGTGTTCTTAGTTGTCTCAGATGGCTCGCACAAAGCAGACGGCGCGCAAATCGACGGGCGGCAAGGCCCCGCGCAAGCAGCTGGCCACCAAGGCGGCCCGCAAGAGCGCGCCGGCCACCGGCGGCGTCAAGAAGCCGCACCGCTACCGGCCCGGCACGGTGGCCCTGCGCGAGATCCGCCGCTACCAGAAGTCCACCGAGCTGCTGATCCGCAAGCTGCCGTTCCAGCGGCTGGTGCGCGAGATCGCGCAGGACTTCAAGACCGACCTGCGCTTCCAGAGCTCGGCCGTGATGGCGCTGCAGGAGGCGTGCGAGGCCTACCTGGTGGGGCTCTTCGAGGACACCAACCTGTGCGCCATCCACGCCAAGCGCGTCACCATCATGCCCAAAGATATCCAGCTGGCGCGCCGCATCCGCGGGGAGCGGGCGTAATGCCGGCTTCAGGTTGAAAAAGGCTCTTTTCAGAGCCACCCACACTTTCTCTTAAAAGTACCTGTAACTTTTAATTGCTTGGCGTAATTGAGCCGGTATGGAAATAGTCCTTTACGGATGTCTTTCATGTTCGGTATCTGAGCGTTGCATATCCCTTTGTCCCAGTCCGTTCAATTAAGTGATTTGTCATTCGCGTGGCGGCTTGTTGAGTATAGATCTAGTTATTCACAACTTAGATTAGTTTGACGTGCATACAAGAAATTGAGGACAAAGTAAGCTTTTAATTGGCTTTGAGTTCTCCAGGGAGTTGTTTAATGTTTATTTTTGAGACCGGGCGAGTGGTGGGGAGGCAGAGGGACACCCCAGAATGAAACCGGCTCCTCCTGGCTCCGAGCTGTCAGCACAGGGCCTGCCGGGGCCGAACTAGAGAACCCGGAGATCCTGACCTGGGCGGAAGTCGGAGCTTAACCGACAACCACCCAGGCGCCCCCTCCAGGGCGCAATTCTCTGAAGAGCGCTTCCACGGATTCATTGTTACCTGGTTGGGCTTTAATAAAAGAGAACATTTAGTTATGTGAGTTTGTAGGAGCTCCTGACCATCTCCTGTAATTCCTGCCCTGGGCCACTTAGCATAATAGAAGCTAACCTAATAGCATGATCAGTATCCATCCACTTAAGTGTTAATTTCCTTGTTAATTTCCTAAGTTTAAAAGTATAATGAACTGATGCTAGTTAAGCTTTTTCTGAGGCCTAAAATTGACACAACTTGGCAACTCTTAACAATTCCAATTCAAAATTTCAAATACAAAACTAGCCAGTGAATATTAATTTATAATAGAAAGATGAGCCAAATTCCAATTTTGCAAAAACCATAGCCATCACAAAGTTCATTTTGTTAACATTATTATTAACTCTTGAATTAACTCTTGAAGACATTTTCTTAACTCTTGAATACAACCTTATCATGCTTATTTTCCTGTTTTTGACCGCATACTCCGACTTCATCTTCACTCGAAAGTTATTTTGTACTATTTTCTATATAGACAACAGGAAGAGAATTCAGTATTTCCTCCAGCACGATTGATCACAAACTGTTTCGTTCTCCTGATTGCTTAGTACTTTCAGCTTCAAAGCACGTTATTGGTAATGTCATGTGTAAGACTGTTTTCAAATTTAGAAAATCCTGTCAAGCTTCTTGCATACGTGAGTTGTAAAATTTAGAAGATTTCTTCATGGGCTAGCTTCCCGTTCTGTACATTTCAAATCTTGACTCGTTTGTACTATACGTTCGCTGCCAGCGCGGTTGCTACGAAAATGTAGATGTCATATAATGACAGGAGTCCGACATCTTCTTGTCTGTAATCCAGCTGAGTTTGTCCATGAACAGGAGAAAACTCCTTGACACCATTCTTACTTCAGATTGGCTAGAACTGAACTATATATGAGCACATCTGCAAATCGCACTTCTCATCTCATTAACCCCTCCCCAAATACATTCAACTCCATTTTCTCTTACCCAAATCCAGATATGTTCTTCAGTATCTCACCATAATCAGACAAAAGGTGAACTGTAATGAAAGGGAAGATTAACTTCCAATAGACAACAAGTCTAAGCGGCTGCGAAGAAAATATTTTAACATTGAAATTTTGCAAAAAAAATGAGACCCAGTGAACACAGTCCCAAGAGCCCCTCTCAGGCCTTTGCGCCTAATATTTGAGTTTCATTAGCTTCTGGGTAAGCCTGCTTCTGATCACTGGCTACGTTTTTCTAACTTATATACGGCTTTCCCATGCCCTCCTACCACTCTGTTCTAACATCTCAGCCTAGCACCCTAGGAGTTGAGAATCACTGGTTTGGGATGACTCTAGGTCTCTGGGAAAGAGCTTTGCTTTGCATGATGCTTTGAACTGTGGTACCATTCTCAGAGTTACCAGAAGAACAAAAGTTGTGGGGAGGAGATAAAGTCAATTCTGAGCAGTTTGAACATTTTCAGTATCGCGGTGAGTTCCCTGGGACAATATTGCAGGATGGTATTGATCTAGCCTGGGCTGAATATCATCTTCCTTTAGAGAAGGTTCCATGGAAGAGGTCCCCACATTTTCGTTGGAGTCTGTCTCCTAGTTCTCCATGGGTCAAGTAGCACATGAACCGATTGGCCTGCATTATTATAGAACATTCTTAATACAACCCTGAAAATCAGGTTCTCTCACTGTCTCCATTTTATAGAGGAAGAACGTTAGCCCAAGAGAGTTTACTTTAATTGGCCAGATTCATAATAGATATCATTGACAAGCAACCTGACACCAAACCCACACACTAAATATCTTCGGACCAATAAGACTTCCTGGAAATGGATTGTTAGACCCAGTTCCTCCTCAAGGCTCACTCGGACTCACAGATTAGTGGATGCGTGGGAAATGCAGTGGCCTGGCCTGGGCTATGTTCTGTTATGAGAGTCCTCTGGTCAGTGGCCTAGAACGAGGGGAAATGCATACGATGCATAGAAGAAACATCACCTTTCAGGGATGCTCTCTGGGCTTCAAGACCAGCTCAGAATAATCATTTCCTTGGAAAACATCTGGATTCTACTACAGAGCAGGTATTTGCTTGTGTTTTCATCACAGTATTTAGTTACTGTGGAACTATATCATCCAAGATAGTAGGCCACTAGCCATATATGGCTATGAAGCACTTGAAATGTGGCTGGTCCAAACCGAGATGAGCTTTACGTGTAAAATACGTACCAGGTTTCAAAGAGTTGTCTGAAAAATAGAATTAAAAAAAAAAATCTCAGTATTTTTTATATTAGATGACTTGTTGAAATAATATTTCTATAATAGTGAGTTAAAGTACTATCAAAATAGATTTTTCTTGTTCCTTTTCGCTTTTTCAAATGTGGCTACTAGAAAATTTCAAATAACCTATGTGACTCCTATTGTATTTCTGAGGAAAAGCACTACTCTGCAGAGGGTGATGACACCGGCTCACTGAGCAGAAACTAACTAGCTATGTTCTTAATATCACCAGTCCTCAGTAATCATGACACCTCCCTCAGAGTGCTGTGATAAGAAGGTGTTTGAAAAGAAATGGAGGGGCGCCTGGGTGGCTCAGTCGGTTAAACGTCTGACTTCGGCTCAGGTCACGGTCTCAAGGTTGGTGGGTTTGAGCCCCGCATCGGGCTCTTGTGCTGACAGCTCGGAGTCTGGAGCCTGCTTCGGATTCTGTGTCTCCCTCTCTCTCTGCCCCTCCCCCGCTTGCACTCTGTTTCTCTCTGTCTCAAAAATACTAAGTAAACATTAAAAAAAGAAAAGCAATGGAGACTTCTCCCCGACAATGCTTGGCACGTTGTAAATTAGAACTCAGGAAATGCTAGCTCTCGACAGCAGTGTTGTTGTTCCCACTGTACCCTAAATCCCAGCTCTACTCTGAAACCCTCTAATGATGTCACCTTGCCTTTTACTGGACCAACTGTTCATCTCTGGCCTGGATTTCAACCCAAAGTTACTCTCTACATTTCCCTTAGGCGTAGAATCACCTAGAAATTTGCCTACGAGAAGTAATAGGATATTTAATTTTTCAGCCACGAGACCACTTGTGTATGCGCAGAAAAATTTTAAAAGGTGGGTATAATGCATTAAAATAACCTGTAATTTCTTTTTTTTCTTTTCTTCTTTTTTTTTTAATTTTTTTTAACGTTTATTTATTTTTGAGACAGAGAGGACAGGAGTACGAACAGGGAGGGGTGAGAGAGAGGGTATTACCAGAATCTGAAATATATCAGGCTCTGGTTGTCAGCATAGGTGAGCCAGACGCTGGGCTCAACTCACGACGCAGGATCATGCCCTGAGCGGAAGTCGGACGCTTAACCGACCAAGCCACCCAGGCCCTAACCTGTAATTTCTGAGTTACACTTTTATCGTACGTGGACATGAGATCATGAATTTTCATGTTGAATTATCAATCAGCAATTTAAGTGATGCGGTAATCATTGCCAAGTTTAGGTAGTCAGCCATGTTTGGGCAATTATTTGAATATATTATTGCCGTTGTCAATATTATTTTATAATAATAAGTAGATTATTGAAAATGATAACATTAATATGTCAAAATAAAATAGAGACTTCACAAACTAAAAATCAAGACAAGGGCCTTTTCTTTTTTTTTTTTTTTTTAATTTTTTTTTTAACGCTATTTTTGAGACAGAGAGAGACAGAGTATGAACAGGGGAGGGGCAGAGAGAGAGGGAGACATGAATTGAAGCAGGCTCCAGGCTCTGAGCTGCTTCAGCATGAGCCCCACGGGCTTGAAACTCACGGACGGTGACTGGCACCTGAGCCAAGTCGACTTAAGTCGACACTCCAACTCAGCCTGCTTTCACCCAGGCGCCCCACAAGGACCTTTTTCTTAAAGCAGCCAATGTAGAGTCTAATGAATGGCTTACGGTATTAGACCTAAGCCAGTCAACTTTGTGGACACCCGTGAGGGAATGGGTCAAAATCAAGGAAACATATTGTTGAAGGTCTTATCGAAAGTCTAGGCAAAATTAGAGGTTTTTATGATAACTTTTAGCTCTCTGTGAGTGAACTCTCCCCTCACCCTTACTAGAGAAGGGCATACATTTGTTTTTGAGGAATACATTTCATTTGAATAGTAAAAGGGTGCCCTTTACCTATGCAAATATGTTTGCAGGAGACATGCAATGTTAGGATCCATTGTAAGTATATGAACCTAAAAAGTGTGTGGACTTGAAAGCATGAGTACTTAGCACAAGTACTTATGGTACTTAGCACAAGTACTGTGATTAAATTTAAGTGTCTTAATTGGGTCTCCTGGTTGCTGCAGCTTGACCCAACCTGAGCCAAGGGAGGCTCCTGCCCCAGTGACAGGAGTACAGATGGCTCAGAGGACCCAGAATCCCCACGTTAGGAACCCAGAGAACGAAGCTCTATGCATCTCTCCTCTGTGCTCTGCCCTTGGCTCCATTCAGCATTTTTCATTCA